GCCATTATGAGTAATGAGGCTATGAGAATTCAGGTACTGATCTTTATATGGTCAGATGCTTTCATTGCTTTTCACTACATTTTCAGCTGTCAAATGGGTGCTACTGTTGTTAGTGAGTTTTTTGGCTTTGCATCTCACTGGTGACCGGTGATGTCAGACATTTTTGCAGGTGCTTATTTTTCATCTGTGTATCACCCTTGGTGCAAATCCTTTGACCAATTTTTTTATTACTGAGTTTTGGGAATTATTCATAAATTCCAAATAAAAAGACTTTATCAGATATGTGGTTTACAGACACTTAAAATTATTAGCAATTCACCTGCAGGGAAAGGTTATTTGCCCGTTAGCTGGTTTGTCCCAATGGTAACATCTTGGTAAGCTGCAGTGCAGGCTCACAGTTGGGATTGATCCAGTGTGGTCCAGACACACGACATAGCAGCCAACACAAGGACCCGTTACACTGCCCTTTTATTATCCCACAGCTCCATTCCTCGAACTCCCACTGTCTCCTTAACTTTGACGACTACCGACCTTTGCTCCATTTCTCTAATGTCATTTCAAGAGTGTTATGTAGAGCACAGTAACTTTTTGGGATCGACTTATTCTGCTCAGCATATTTCTCTAAGATTCATTTTTGTTTTGTGCATCATGGTGTTTCTTCCTTTCTGTTGCAGATAAGACTCCATGTTAGAAATGCGCCACTGTTTGTTCAATGGTTTATTCATTGAACTACACCTACTTTTTTCTAGTTTTTAGCCCTCAGAAAAACACTTTTGTAAAGATTTGTGTCCAGGTTTTCTTGAACGAACACAAATCTTCATTTCTCTGGCATAAATGTTCAGGTATGCAGCTCATATAATATTTACATGATTTGTTTTTAAAGCCACTGTTATACTTTTCCAGAGTGACTATACTATTATCCATGACCATCGGTAATATGAGTAAACCCATCTTTCCACATCCTTACCAGCATTTGGTGTTATCATTATTAATTTTAGCTGTTCTGAAAGATGTGGGGTGATAACTCATTGTAGTTTTGAGTTTCTCTGATAACTCATGATATTGCGTGTTTTCATGTGTTTAATGTCATCTGTAATATGTCTTTTTAGTAAATTGTCTCTTTTGCCTAAGTTCTAACTAGTTTATTTTTTATTGTTGAGTCTTTATTTGTTTTGTTTTTTGAGAAGAGTCTCCCTGTGTAATGCAGGCTGGCCTTGAACTCGCTTATGTAGCCCAGGCTGGCCTCACACTCATGGTGATCCTCCTGCCTCAGCCTCCTGAGTGCTAGGATTACAGGTATATACCACCATGCCCAGCTTACTGTTGAGTTTTGATAATTCTTTGCATGTTGTAGGTACAGTAGTAGTCCTTTGTAAGATTCATAATTTATAAATATTTTCTCCTGGTCTGCAGCTTATCTTTTCAGCCTCTTAACAGAGTCTTTCATGGGGCAAAAGATTTTGATTTTACAAAGTCAAATTTATAAAATTTTCCTTGTACAGATTCATGCTTTTAGTGTCAATCCCAACAACTTTTGCTCAACTCTAGATTTAGAAGATTTTATAATTTATATACCATTAATAGTAAAAAGCTTTAGAACTTCATCCTATGAAAGCATACTTCAATAATGTTAAGTATATTTGCAATGTTTTGCATCTATCACTACTCTCTGGTTCCAAATTTTTTTTTGTCATTTGGAACCTCCTTTCTGCAGCACCCTGGCAACTACCCATCTGTCTCCATGGAATTACCTGTTCTGGATGTTTCATGTAAATGACCTTTGTGACTGGCTTGTTTTACTTAAGCCTGTGTTTTTCAAGACTTACTCCTGTTGTATCATGTATCAGTATTCAAGTCCTTTTTAATAGCTGAATAGCATGCTAGTGGATTTTGTTTTATCTGTTCATCAGTTGCTGGACATTTACATTGTTTCTGGTACTTGACTGTCATACAAAATGTTGCCAAGAACATTTACGTAAAGGTTTTTTTGTAGCATATGTTTTCAGTTCTCTTTGGTGTATGACCAGGAGTGGAATTGCTCAGTCAGGGTAATTCTATGTTTAGTCATTTGTGAAGCTGCCAGATTGTTTTCAAAGTGACCACACTGTTTTATCTCCCACCAGCAATATATGGAATTTCTTTGCATCCTTTCTTTTTTTTTTTTTTTTAGCTTAGTCATAGTTTTACATTTTTCATTTGTCTATGACTCATTTTTAATTGATTTTTGTAAGATATGAACCTTAGAAATTTTTAAAGTTTTAGCTTTATAGATACCTTGTTGTTCCAGCACCACTTGCTGAAGAGGCTGTCTTTCTTCTGTTGGCTTGCTTTTGTACCTTTATCCAAAATTATATGGGTGGATTTGCAAGGGCCTGTTTCTTAGTTCTCGATTCTATGCCATTGATCTGTGTGTTCTAGCCTACCGTCAATACCATGTAGTATCAATTACTATAGCTAAATAGTAAGTCTTGCAAATAAAAGTATTTTCAGAAATATTTTTTCTACTCTAGATCTTTTCCTTCTCTACATACATTTTAGAATTGAATTGTGTACATCTACACAACATCTTGGTATTTTGTGGGGATTGCACTGAGTCTGATTTGGGGAGAAGTGCTGTCCTTTGGCTACAGGGAGCTGACTTGTTGAGGCTTCCTTTTGTCTGTGGCCATGGATGTTTCTAGGTTGCTGACTTCTGCAGCTCTAAGACTAGTATATGTAGGAGGCTAGGAGGAAACCTAGGGAAATCCTGTTCTTGTAGTTGCTTGAGCCTGAGGCCCCTAGGTGGTCTCCATGCTCCTCTCCAGCTTTCAAAGTTGTCTAATATTTGTTTTACAAATTATGTCCAAAATTTTTGATTGTACTTAGCAGGGCAAATAGGGAAAATTATACCTACTCTATCTTCCTAAAGTGAAAGTTATGCCCTCCTTTTTAACAATTGGTTTTCAAGGTCATTTTGTATTAGTACATAAATTGCAGAAGTAATCTTTTAAGTTATTGCATTGTATTTTGTGAATATTTTATAAACTTTTTAAATCATTCCCCTCCTGATGATTTAGGTTATCTTCAATCTTTTTCTTTTATATATAGTATCTGGGAATAACTTCATATATGCTAATGTGTCAGATTGCACGTGTGCCAGTAGAGTGGGTAAAAGATAACTTCCTAGGAACAGGACTGCTAGGCCAAAAGGGGTGTACAGTTTATATTTTGATAGGTGGTGATAAATGCCTTCTACAGAGATTGCTTGTCGGTCTGAATCACCCTCAGTGATGTCCACATAGGCAGAATTTCTGGTCCTATGAGACAGAGCCCCAAAAAGGATATTTTGAATCACCAGATCTCAGCATGCAACTCTGGTATCATCTTTAAGGTCTCACATAGATACACTTTTTATATACAGTTGTCCAAAATATAAGGAAAGTATTTATTCTTACCAGTAATCCAACATCAGGGACATTTTTTGATAATTGCTATGTGTACTACACTTGGCATCAGATTTTACAATACCTTGTTCTAGTCAAGTGAATTTATATTTTCCTCACAAGATTTTTCTGTGGTGGTAATTTGTCATTTGGGTCTGAATTATACTGTGGCTGAATTATGCTGAACGTAATTCCTCAGCAATATATCAATTAAGCAGTGTTGCTCAATTTAATGAGTCATTCAAATACACAGGCATTTCTTTTGGTTAGTAAAAACTTACTCACTAGTTTACTGTTAGGATTTTCAACTTGAGGATTCTCCAAGGGATTTTCCTTTTCTGATTAAATAAATAGGAGTAATAGATAACCTGCTAATGTCATCATTTTGCATGCAGTTCTGCTGAGTATGTTATGCACACTTTAGGTCTTTATTTTTTTTGCCCAAACCACTGTTCATGTTGTGTATAACAATAGTTTACGCCTTTTTATTGTTATGTAGTATTCCACTGTTTGAGTAGACCACAATTTTTTTTAATCCATTATTTTGTAGAATTGATTGTTTCCAGCTTCTGGTTGTTATGAATAGGATTGCAGTGTACATTTTGGTACATGCTGTGCTGCTTGGTGGTGAGATCTTGCTATCTCTTTTAACATTTTTAATTATGGTTATTTTAATCTTATAACATTTTCTGCTAAGTTTTTCCCTTTGTTTTCTACAAGTTAGCCATCTCTTAAAAGTTACTTGAGTGAGAAGGCTTTGTTTTATGATCCACATGGTTTTGGATCATGATCGTAGTTGTGAAGAAGTAATAAGAAATACTTGGCACATAATTGCTGGATGGCAAGCTAGATGTGCTGAGGATTCAGTTGCAGTGTCCTGTTCCTTAAAGTTGATATTTGACTCCTTCTCAAAGTCTCTGACGGAAGGTGACCATAGTTTCCAACTCCATGCCCAGTTCATGGATTTCTCCCCAGCAGCAGCTCATTCATTTGGTCCAGGAGTACTGGAGGCTGCCTTCACAGCTTGATGGAGGAAAGGCCGTTCCCAGAATTTGTTACAGGCCTGCTAACTGTGGGTGTATGTGTATCCAGCCGAATGAAAGTATCTCTTTTCAAACAGCTGTATGCAGTTAATGACAACTAACTGTGGAAGCTAAGTTTCTATATTTAGTTTATCTTCTATAATTTGGGAACTTTTCCCAGTGCAAAGGTAACTGTCACAGGTGACCTTCATAGATATCTGAATGGTAACATCATAAAAGTGTAAGCAAATAACATTTCTTTTACTCTAGCACTTGTTAAAGTCAATCAGTATATTTTTTGAATTAAACTAATATTCCAGTGTCTCACTTGCTCACATTCTGAGCAAATTTAAGATATGTAGTTTAATGTGTATTCCCCTCTTCCTCCAACCCTTGAAAATGTTACCAACCATAATTTACATAAAATTAATTCAATATGATTTCCTTTTTTAAAACAATGGCCTTTTTCTTGTATTTAAAATGTAAAACTTTTCCTTTATTTTCTTTCTGTCCTCAAAAATCCACTGTGGGTGATATCGTTTTTGCTGATATACAGCTTTATCAGGTATGACTCCTAAGTGTCATGTTGGACTCACGGATGTGTTGTTTTACTTTTTGAGGGTAAAACTTTTCATACTAACTCTTCTACATTTACTTGATCAGTATTTGAGTATCTTATAAATGTAACTGGGCTTGAAGCTTTAAAAAGGCCTGTCAAAAACAAGGTTGCCAAATTTATTGCACCTATACTTCAAAGAGAAGTTTAGGGTGTTTTCTCCAAAAATATTCCTGTTATATGTCTCTGTTTCCACATTATTAATCTGTGTGTAATTAATTCTCCATGTTTTTCCTGTTTATATGTGTGTTTGCAGCCATATCTGTGTTACTCTTAACATGTATCTGTTCTTAAAACTAACATATATTCCTAATGAGCACATTCCTGTGTGATAACGTAGCCCTGCTTAGGGTTTTCTCAAACTACATTCCGTGAAATATATTAATCTGAGACACTAAGTAGAATGGTATAAAAAGTATTATCCAATAAGTTTACTATACCCATTCCTGAGAGACTCACAGTGTGCATTAGGATATTAAGGATTCTGGTTTTATGCAGTAAAGAAATTGTCTTTGTCTCAGTATCTTCTAGAAATCTTTGAGTGTGGAACACTTCATAATACAGAGGGGTGTTCTGAGCATACTGATTTGAGAAATGCTGCAAAAACTGTGAATAAGGTTTTCTTTGTAGTGTTTTAAAACATCAGATAGCTGGGTGTGGAGGTCCATGCCTGTAATTCCAGCCTTCTGGGAGGCCAAGGCATAGGATTCCATGTTCGAGCCTAGCCTGAGCAACTTAACGAGATGGAGTCTCAGAATAAAAAATTAAAAAAGGCTGGAGATGTGGCTAAGTGTAAAGGCTCTGAATTCAGTCCCCAGTGCAACAAAAAACAAAAGCCAAAAAACTCAACAAACAAAACTGGCTACATATTATTGAGTTTTCAAGACTTTAAAGCATTTAGCTGAATTGTATTTTATAAGTGTTTTCTTGTAGAATTGTATTTTGAAGTACAGCGTTGCTTTTCTTTTGATGGGCTTTAAAAAGAATTTGTAAAATTGTAAAAATTGGGCTTTTTGTTGGAAAGAAGCTTTTTTGTTTTTGTTATTGTCATTGTTTTCTTACTTCCAGTCCATACAAATTTGCCTTTATATTTAAAAAACCATATTTACTGTTTCAGATAACATGACACAGGAAAGGAGGCCTCCCAAACTTGCCTTTATGTCACGAGGTGTTGGGGACAAAGGTTCATCCAGTCATAATAAACCAAAGGCTACAGGTATGGATTAACAAGATACAGTTCTTGGTAATTTACACAATACCTGATTTGCCCACGCACTGAAAAAGGTTATAAACATATATCTAGACTTACTTCTTTTAAACAATTTTAAGTAGATGGTGTTGCTTAAACCATCAACTCCTCACCTTTTACCTGAGAAGTTTCCTGTAGTACTTGAGTGTTTTGCTGGTCTGTGATCAGCTGGTTTTGGAAACCCCTGCTTTTGAATGTGTGTGTGTGTGTGTGTGTGTGTGTGTGTGTGTGTGTGTGTATACATGTATACATAGCGTAATGTCACAACTATATAATCATATGTGGATAGAGTTATATAGGATAAAGTACATTGGAGATAATAGGGATTTTGCTAACTAGATGTGGCACACATTAAATTGCAAACTCCTAAGCAAAAATTTTTGTCTCTTTTCCAGAACTTCCTCATGATACATGTCAGATTTATACCTCTTTTTCTGTTGGCTTCTCCATATTCTGTAGTTTGATAGGGTGGTAGTTAAACAAACCCAACAGCTCATTTAAAAAGCAGCACTCTGGGAGGCTGAGGCAGGAGAATCACAAGTTTGATAACAGCCTGGGCAACTCAACAATTTAATGAGATCCTGTCTTAAAATAAAAAAATACAAGAAGGGGCTTATATTCCTTCCTACCTTGACTCCCTCCCTCCCTCCTTTCTTACTTCTTTCATTTTCTTCTCCTCCTCCTGCTCTTCCCGTCTTCCTCTTTGTCATCTTCCTCCTCCTACTACCCCCTTTCTCCCTCCCCCTCCCCTGTCCTTCCCTTTCCTGCCTTCCCTCCCTTACTCCTTCCTTCCCCTCTTCTCCTCTCTCCTTTTTTGTTATTGGGTCTCATTATGTTGCCCAGGATGACTTTGACCTCCTAGCCTCAAGCAATCCTCCTGCCTCAGCCTCCTGAATAGCTGGAGTGACTGGTGCACACCAGACACAGGGTGTTGATTATGTTATGGCAGGTCTGAGCTAAAGGTACAGAGTGTAGAGGGATCTGCTTGACACTGGGGGCGAGAACTTGGCTTCTGTGGAGTCTGAAGACTCGCTGCTCTTTGCTGTGGCTCATCCTCGTAGTAAACACTGACTTAGTGCCGAGTCTGGAAATGTCTGTGACACAGCTGTGTTAACTCTTACGTTGAGTAGATCAATACAGAAGAAATAACAGTGCTGCACTTTTCAGACGGATGAAATTAAGTGATAAATTTGATGATCAACAATTCTAAAAAGTTTAAATATCGAGTCTTTTTTCTTTAAATTTTTTTAAATTTATATTTCTGCTTTGTTCAATGCGGTGTCCAGCATTGAACTTAGAGCCTTGTGTGTGGTAAATAGGTGCGCTATCACTAAGGTACCTCCCCAACCTAAACTTTAAAATTTTTTATTTAATTTATGCTCTGATCTGTATACAGCATTTGAAGATTATGTTCTTCTGACAGCACCTGGTTTAAAATACAACCAGGTGTCACTCCTGACAGGAATACATTCTGAGATCGCATCATTAGGTGATTTTGTCTTCATGTAAACGTCACAAAGTATACACAAACCAGCTGGTGTAGCACACCACACACCTAAACACTGTGGTATGTTGTCTGTCCTTTACTGAAACACCATTGTGTGATGCACGGCTGTGAGAGTTTAATTTGTGAACCAGTAGATTCATTAGATGCAGTGGCAAATGATAATCTTGACATTTAGAGATAAATTATACTGTGATTTCTTAGAGCAGTTTGTGTTGAAAAAAATGAACAGGCTTTAATTTATTTCTGTTTCCCTCCTGCATTGACTGAAGGGTCACCAATATTTTAAAAGCCAAAGACAATAATAAAATACATTGTGTTTGTGTACATGTATTGATTGTACAAACAGATGTTAACATTGTGTATTAATTTGTCTTACTAAAAAACTGTTAAAATCTATTGACTTTATTTTTAAAAGAAACCTTTCTTGTTTTCCAGGATCTACCTCAGACCCCGGAAATAGAAATAGATCTGAATTATTTTATACCTTAAATGGGTCTTCTGTTGACTCACAACCACAATCCAAATCAAAAAATACATGGTACATTGATGAAGGTAATCTACAATTTCAGTGTTCTTTATAATGAACTTGTCCTTTTAACTCATCAAAAAAAAAAAAAGGATTTTTAAAATCAGTATTTGGAGTTTTTTGAGACAGAATGAATAGACCTTTGTTAATATTGCTAAACTAAAATGTACACAATTTGAACTGCACTGCTGTTAAGATTAATAAAACGTTTAAAATGTTTAGTAGCTCATTCTCTTAATGATCTACTTAGAGTAGGAGATCTCTAGAATCAGTTGAGTTATTTGAAAGCTTTTCTGTCTTTGTCTTTCTTGACCTCTTTAAAGTACTCCCTTTAAAAAATTCCATCTTCCCTTAGTTCTGGGACATCCTTTTCTTCTGGCATGTTCATTTTCCTGTCCATCTGTTCAACAAATATTTATTGAGGTTTATTACATGCCAGAAATTCTCTGAGGTTATAATGATGAGGAAAAAAAGTAGGCACTGCCCTTGCCCTTTTTGAGTTTATAGTCAGATTGTTAGGGTAGAAATTAATCAGACACAGAAGCAGATGCGGAGTTGCAGTGGGATGAGGACAGTGAACAGAATGCTATCAGGGCAATGAGACTGCCTAGGGGCTTAGGGTGGCTTCAGAAGAAGTGACAGCTACCTAGGTTTACAGAGTGATAGATGGCACCATGGGAGAGGACAGAAGGGCATTCCAGTCAGAGGGAATAGCATATGTTAAGGCTTGGGGAAGAATGGAGCTAACTGTTAGCCAAGGCCCAAAAGAGCCAGTGTCTCTCGAGCAGGGACAGACATGACCTTTAATGAGATGAGAGCAGAGCGGCAGCAGAGCCAGGTCATGTGGAGCCTGGAGCGCCCCACCAAAAGGAAGTGGAGAGCTGCTGGAGGATTCTCAGCCACAGGTGAGGGGACCACGTTTGCCTCTGGGAAGGGTCATTCTGGCTGCAGAGCAGACAGTAGGTTGAAGGGTGACTGTGTGAATGCAAGGCCACACTGCAGGCTGTTGCAGGTCTCAGTAATTGGTTGTGGTGTCTGGGACTAGACTTGGGGAAGACGTGGAGAAGGCTGATAGATCTGAGATTCAGTTAGGTTGACAGGACTTAAATAGCGGTGGAAGGTGAAATTTTGGAGGAAAGCCGTGTCAGTGATGGCTCTGGTTTTCTGGCTTGCATACTTGGATGGTGGTGGAAGAAGGTGAGGAATTTGATGTTGAACATGTTGAATTGAAGGGGCCTTCGCAACTTCCTAGAAGGGAATCATGTAGTGGGCAGTGGGATGTATGGGTGTGGAGCTTAGAACAGAAGTAAGAGCTACAGAAAGAAATAAGTTGTCATCACAAGGTGGTTACAGTCCTTTGAATAGTACTGTGTAAGGAGAGAGGGTGGAGGGCACAGGTTGTGACTGAACCTTGAGGAGCTTAATGGCTAGGGTGGAAGGAAGGTAAGTCATGAAAGGAGACAGAGAAAAAGTGACCGAGGGATATGGGGGAACCAAGAGACTGTTGGGTCAAGAAGCCAAGGAGCAAATGGACAGCATGCTGAATGGTGAGAGGGCAAGAAGACGAAGACCACAGGATGCCCCCTGGAGTTAGTCATCTGAAGCCACTGGTGACCTTCAGAGTTCTCTCGTTGGAGGAATTTCAGAGGCCAGGTTGGAGTGTGCCGAGGGTGTGCGGAGAGGACATGGAGACATGAGGCGGATGGGTGAAACACAAGTGTGGGTTGCGTCCTTGACTGTTCCCCCTTGCTCCCTCTCTCTCAGTCTTATCCAGTTGACACCAAGTCTTCTCGACTTCTTCATCTTTAATATCATGGAATCTCTCCCTGCTTCTTCATGTCTAAGAACATAGTCTTCATTCAGATCTTATGTTTGTCCTTGTCTGGATGAATAGGATGGCCTTTAACGGGTTTCCTTGCAGCAGAATCATTCTTCTAAACTTTGTTCTGGGTAACAGCCAGCACCACCGTCATCATAGTCATCATCTTCAGCATCACTGAACTAACATTTCTCGACCACTTACAATATGCCCTGGGTTATGTTGTTTATATACATTGTTTTATTTTACTCTCTTCACAACTTTATGAGGTAGATATTTGTACATATATTTTCATTACAGTAGTTAAATAACTTGCCTAGTGTCACATGTCTAGTAATAATGGAGCCAATATTCAGCCCAGATCTGTTTAACACTAGGCTTCAGGCTTACAATCACCATACTGTCTCTACTTTTCAGAGTGGTTTTTCTGAAGGTGTATCTGTTCATGCCTCTCCTTTGCACAGTGTGTATTAATGTTTCCCTACCCTTGAACATAAGCGTCCAAATTCCTGACTTTGGCATGTTGGATTCATTGTGGTGTAGCCTCTGTCTCAGCTCTGTTCTTTTTTCCTGCTGCAGCCGTACTGGACTGGCTCCATTCTTAGGCTGTACTGTGCTTTCTGTCTTTCTGTCTCTCTCTGTCTCTCTCTGTCTCTATCTCTCCCTGTCTCTGTCTCTCTGTCTCTCTCTGTCTCTCTCTGTCTCTCTCTTGTCTCTCTCTCTCTCTTGTGTGTGTGTGTGCCTATCGTTTCTGCTGCCTGGAAGTCTTTCCTGTTCTTCCAGTTTGGTGGTCTGGCTTACTGTTACTTGTCTCTGAAATCTCAGCTCTTTAGTTGATCTGTAAAGCCTTTCCTTTGCTCTTCTACCTCTCCTAGGTTAGATCAAATGTCCTCAAAGAAGTTTTGCTGCTTTGTCTTTCTCCTCAGCCAGATTGCGAGCTCCTACACTCAGCACAGGACTCGATAGTCGTGGTTTTAGTGATTGTATGCAAACTAAATGAAAATAGCAATTTATAGTATAATGGATACTATAATGGATGTGTACAGGGCCCATCCAGGTACACTGGGTGTAGACCCCTCTTGTCCTGTTGTTACTGTTTTTCCCATAGGGAAAAACAGTAGTTTTTCTAAGGAAAGGAAACTAGCAACCATAATCTAGGCAATGTCAGCCGTTCAGGTTTATGCTGTAATTTTATCTTTCTTATTAATATGGATTCTGTATTGCATAAGAATATCCCTGACTTCTTGATGCTACTAGAATCTAATATGTAATAATTTCATGAGACAGTACTGATCCTAAAAGACCTACATGGAACATAAAAGAATGAAATTTGTATGGAGGGCTTCACCCTTAAATCAGAAAATAGAAGTGATTTAGTTGCAAAGAATATTGTTCCTTTAGTTAATTTTCCTTATGCAACATTTTAAAAACCTTTTCTTTACAACATGTGATTAATTTACTTTTTTAAAATAAATATTTTACAAGTACTTTCTTGTGTTTGTGGTATACCAAGCACTGTAAATTCAACCAGGGGAAAGACTTAACAAAACTGCTATTCTCACGGGACTTACATTCTAGTTGTATAGTGTGTATGATAGACTCCTCCGTGAGTGTTATTTTTTATGTGTTTCACAAGTGTTTGTTTTTGTGTCCTTTTCTTTTTCTTTGTTTTTAAAACTTCTCATCTCTTCTGTGTTCCATAAATGATTTAGAATAGTTTCTTAATTTTTAGTATCTTTTTTACTAATTTCTAATTTAATTGTATTACAGAGAATATATCTTAGGTAATGCCAATCAGTAATAGATTTTTAAAAATTTTGAACAGTTGAGTTCCATTGACTGAGGTAGGAAAGTTTGGAGGTGGGGAAGAGAAGCATGAACACTATGGTAGAGATAATAAACTTGTAGTGCCTGTAAGAATCCTATAGAGAGGTCAGGTGGGCAATTGAACTAGATCTGTGTATTGATTTTTAGAGATGTAAGGCATATTCAATGTTCTTGAATAGATTTCCCTAATTAAGAATACTTTTTTAAAGTTGCAGAAGATCCTGCAAAATCACTTACAGAGTTATCTCCAGACTTTGGACATTCTTCACCACCACTGCAGCCTCCTTCCATGAACTCCTTGTCCAGCGAGAACAGATTTCACTCTTTGCCCTTCAGTCTGACGAAGATGCCCAACAGCAATGGCAGCATGGGTCACAGTCCGCTCTCGCTGTCAGTGCAGTCTGTGATGGGTGAGCTGAACAATGCTCCTGTGCAGGAGAGCCCACCCTTGCCCATGACCTCTGGTAACTCACATGGGCTGGAAGTGGGCTCCCTGGCTGAAGTGAAGGAGAATCCGCCATTTTATGGGGTCATCCGCTGGATTGGTCAGCCACCGGGGCTCAATGAAGTACTAGCTGGACTGGAACTGGTAATTTAATTTGACCTAAAAACTACAGTTCTTTTTCATGTGGGGTTTTGTGAAGATTTTTCCCGTGTGTATGTGTCTTGGTTTTGTTTTGTTTTTTTGGCAAACTGTTACGTTTGTCAGAAAAGCCATCACTCGAGAAAAATATTATTCCCATGTAACCTGACTTCTCTTTGCCACTCCTTAAGCTTCTGCTAATTTGCTTTAATATTAGTTGATCTATATTCAAAGAATAAAAGTTGGCTTTTACGTTAGTGTGTTTAGGTTCCTTTTATGAATGGAGTGCCGTAAGGACAGCAGATCTGTTAACAGCTTTTCCCTTCCTCAGCTTCCTTCTCCACAAAGATGTATCGATTATAGCTTTAAAATTAATCACCTAAATATGTAGAGATCTTTTGAGCTCTTGGTAGAAGGAAAGATTTCCCTTTGGAAATGAACATTTCATAATCAGGAGAGGAGAATTTGAATGCATTTGGCTTATCTTATATTTCTTGGATTGTTTTGGTTTCTTGCTTGCTTGTTTGTTTCCATATAGTGAATACCATCGGCAAGAGAGTTAAAATAATTAGCTTCCTCATCCCACTCTGTGTGTCTGTCTGTCTGTCTATTTTGTATTGCTGGGGATGGAACCGAGGGCCTGGTGCTTTCTGGGCAAGTGCTGTACCACTGAGCTACGTTTCCCAACTGACCCCTCATTTTACTACGTGCGGAAGTGGTGCAGGAAGTTCAGTTAACCAAAGAAGGGGTAGACACATATTCTGGAAGAAATGAGGACGTCCTGCAGGGTTAAGGGATTGAATTTGTCAATCATTAGCTGTGGGTGAAGGCACCAACCTCTTCTTGATATAGTTCACAGTACAGGAATAAAGAGGGTAGTCAGAGAAAGGGTAAACTAGGAACACATCTTCAACACCTAAATTCTTTGAGCGCTGTTTTTCTAAGGGGTATATGTACATACGGAAGCCATTGTTTTTCAGGAGGACGAATGTGCAGGCTGCACAGATGGAACCTTTAGGGGCACTCGGTACTTCACCTGTGCCCTGAAGAAGGCGCTGTTTGTGAAACTGAAGAGCTGCAGGCCGGACTCCAGGTTTGCATCCCTGCAGCCTGTCTCCAATCAAATCGAGCGCTGCAACTCCTTAGGTAGTGGATGCGTTCCATTTATTTACTAGTAAGAAGGGACCCCATTTCATACCATTTTACATAGGGATGGTACAGTGCTTAAATGAGTTTCTTGCCAAAATTCATCAAACTAGACATTTTAAGGGTATTAGTTAGGAAAAGTGGGACTTAAGTAAGAAAGAGTAGGCTGTATGTTTCCTTTCCTGTTGACTAGGCATTTAATTTTCAGGAGTACAGGAAGTAGAGGTTGAAACATGACTCTCTTTTTTGCACTGATTCCTTCTTCACTGTGTTGCTTAAATTCCTCCGTCAGCATGTCCCACCAAGATATTAGTGTTTAGCCTGATAATGAAAGAGCTGTCTCCATCACCTGGAACAGAGGGGCAGTTTCCGGATGCTGTCGCTTCCCAGTTCTAGAGAACAGTTGTGCAGCATCTCAAGTGTTAAGCAGGTGTAAATAGAAAATGTATCTTTATGAAGAACATTTTTTGTAACCATGAAGTAACACTTTGGATTTTTTTTTCCAGACTTGAAAACGAAACATTTTGGATAAACAATAAAATATAATGGAAACAATATATTTAACTTGACAGATACCCTGTACATGTTACCTAATACTCTAAGGTGTTTTTGAAATTGTGGAGAAAGTGAGATTGAAAATGAATAATAGCATTTTTATAATATAGTCTGAATAGCAGTTAACCAAAGGTTAAGAAACAAATTTTGTATCAAAAAACCAAATGATATTTTAAAATGACATACATAGAGTAATAGTTTAAAAGAATTCTTTTCATTTTCATTTTTATCATTTCAGCATTTGGAGGCTATTTGAGTGAAGTGGTAGAAGAAAACACTCCACCAAAAATGGAAAAAGAAGGTTTGGAGATAATGATTGGAAAGAAGAAAGGTATCCAAGGTCATTACAATTCTTGTTACTTAGATTCAACCTTATTTTGGTGAGTTTATAATGGAGACAGGTTCCTGTACGTGTGTGCATGTGTGTGCTTATATGTCTGTGTGTGAAACAGGTCGCCTGCTTCCTCTGCGAAGGGAACTGGGTGACTGGGGGTCAGGAAAGGGAGACTTGCCTTCCATAATGTACTCTTTGGAAGCCTGTCCTGTTTTCTTGTATTCCTTCATCTAAAAAACTAGTATGAAAAGTAGTGCAGTGAATAATAGGAGGTAAAGGATAGTAATACATGTGGGACAGATATACCAGGGGTGTCTGAAGTGAATAAATATGGTCTCTTTGTGCACATAGCAAAAAATGACTTACTGGTTGATGTGTGCCTATTTGTTTTAGTAGGTAGAGGCAATCATAAAATGACTTTATTTAAAAAATGTTTTTAATAGAAGCACTGTTGCCCCCATATATATAGTTTTTTTCTAAAGTGGAACAATTTAACATGGCAAGAATCATTAGGCTCTGAGGATTGAAGCAAGAATCTTTAGGCCCCAAGGATTGTGCAGTGCCAGTGAAGGTGAGGTAACTTGCTGGTCCTGCACGCGTGTCATTAGAGTTAGGAAGTTAATATGGGATGTTAACATTTGAAAAGCAGAGAAAAGAATGAAGGTGCCGAGCCATTTTGTTGGCAGAGTACTTTCAGTCTCCCGGATATACTGGCATGAACAAGCCTTATAGCATCGATGGAATATTCTTCGGATTGCCTGATAAAAATCTGTATTAGCAAATTCTGTTTCCTTTCACACTAGCACACGTCTGCTGTTAGTCATTCACGAGTGATTTTAAAGAACTTTAGGACTTTGCAAAGGGACAGAAAGGGAGAGAGGAGTATGGCATAGTGTTTGCTCTGAGAAGTGGTTTCCAGGCTTCCTCCTATGGTATGTGTTTGTAGTGTGACTCAGATTTGTGGGCCCTCTTTTAGCTTTTGCACAGAAGTTTGGTTTCTTAATACGCTTGGGGCATGTTTTTATCTGTTAACATTGCCAGTCTGTAGTTTGCCTTCTTGGTGTTAGTTTTCTCTTCACTGTGGAAAGTTCTCTGGGCCTGATGATTGAACTGTGGGAATCCTTACAGGGCTCTTAGATCCCTGTGTTCAGGAGAAATATGGATGTTTATGCTGTTTGTTGCTTAGACTTTGCTTCTTTCTCTTGATGATTCTTTTAAGAATCAGTTTGCTGACAAATGACATGTTTATAACGTGAGAAAAAATACTGTTTTTATTTTGCAGCTTATTTGCTTTTAGCTCTGTTCTGGACACTGTGTTACTTAGACCCAAAGAAAAGAATGATGTAGAGTATTATAGTGAAACACAAGAGCTACTGAGGACAGAAATTGTTAATCCTCTGAGAATGTAAGTAGAAGATTCATGTTTTGCCTTTAGATGTTCTGTTCTCTCTTTTCTGGTACAGGAATTGATTTCTGCCCTGCTTTCATGTCATACAGAAGTGGGTGAAAGTTAGTTCTCATGGTGAAGTACTGATTTTTTTTAAAGCTTTGGTTCTTATACGTCCATTGGTTATTTAATTTCTAAAGTCTGGCTATATAGAACATAGTATATTTCATGAAGTGATTTAAACCATTTTGGTAAAGTATACTACAAGTTAGCAGTTGCAGTAGATTTAGAAAAGCTAATTTGTAGTACTTAGGCTTCTTATCTTGTGAAATAATCTGTTCAGGACTACTCCTAACAGCACTTCTGCTTCCTGATGAAAGTTCTGTAGTCTGTCTTCCAAACTTAATTTTACCTGAAAGAGAAGGAAAAGGAGAAATTACTTAACTATAGAATGACTTCTATTTAATATTTCTGTTGTAGAAACAGCTGAGATGTATTTTGGTGATACGTTTTTTGTTTAAAGAAATATATTTAGGCCTCCTTCTGTCTCCTTTACCAAGGTGATTCTTCTATTTTCTAGTTTAGGAATTATAAATATGTCTGCCATTTGGGTCATAGGAAGCTATTTGTAATAGTATAAGCAGAAGTGACAGAAACCATCTGTAAAGACTTGATAAGTGGTCCTAGTGATGTGTTGATGATGTCACATTATAAATTCTAAACTGTGAAGAATTCTAGCCATAAATTGTAAAACAGTTTTGTTCATTCAGAAACACAGGGAAAAAACTAATGTACAGGCCATACTAAGTTAAATTTAAATTTTGTGATCTACTTTTTTTATTTAACAATTAAAACTAAAGATAGTTAGATTCAAGATTTGGATCAACAAAAACCCGAAATTTAATGAGCATTTCTAATGACCTACTGTGTCACATGAGTAGGAAAGTAAACGATAAAAGAATAAATTTCTCCACTTGTGGTGTTTATTTTTCTTAAATTCTATAGTTACCTTATGCTTTATGAGAATTATGAGTGTTGATTTTCATATTATTTGGTCTTAGGCAAACATTTAAATGAACTCTTAATTCCCCTGCCCCCAAATAATTGATACTAGAACAAGACAAGTCAAATTACTCTGAGGCAGAATGGCAGTCTTTCAGAGGCTGAGTGCCCAAACTATAACCCCACTTATTTACTGTAAAGTGCTGACACTGCAATTAAACTTCACTGCTGAGGTTTTAGTTTAGAAAAAGCAATTGTCATCTGACACTTGGCTGCTAGGATGACTTGGTTTATGTGCCGACAGAGAGGGCTCTGTGTGCCCGCTGCGGCACACATACCATAGGTTTGCCACCACGGCTCTAAGCCACGTTACCACCTTCTCCCTTCTTTGTAAAATGCCGTAACTTGGGGCCAGGGATTTAGCTCAGTGGTACAGTGCCTGCCTGGCAAGGGTGAGGTCCTGAGTTTGATTCCTGGTATCAAAAAGAAAGAAGGAAGGAAGGAAGGAAGGGAGGGAGGGAGGGAGGGAGGAAGGAAGGAAAGAAAGAAAGAAAGAAAGAAAGAAAGAGAGAGAAGAAAGAAAGAAAAAGAAAGAAAAGAAAGAAAGAAAGAAAGATAAACCACTATAAATCCATTAATAACGCCAATTTTGTCATAAAGGCACATTAGTGTGAGTGTAGAATTCCCAGTTTTATTCTTTAGAATGTTTCTATTGATGAAATATTAATTTTAATTTTATGAGTTTCATGGTATTAAACAATGAATACTTAACCAGGAAAAAAGTATCAAAAAATAAAGTATTGAATTTTTAATATTTATTGAGTGTTTATAAAAAGCATTAAAAATTTTCAACAACTGTTTTTTGGTATACAAAGTCTAAAAAAAAAAACCAGAAATAAATTCCTATATGAACTACAATGAAAATACCAATATAACTCTACAAAAAACCAATCTTTACTTCAATTATCACACCTACGGCCGTCTTCACACCTGACAACAGCACGTTCCATAGACGCATATCACTTACCCTGACAGCATGTGTGTTTTGCTTTCCCGGCCTTTTTGTAAGACATAACTTGATACCACACTAGTCTTGCTGTTTTGTCTGGAGGTTCTTCTTATATAATACAATGTATGAAATACCAATAAAAGATTTACATTTTTAAAATGTACTACACATTTAGAATAAACATCAGCATTTTCACATCAGCTGTGTACTTGCTTATAAAACCTAAAAGGTAACATCAGAAATAAACTCCTATATGAACTACAATGAAAATAACAATAGAACTCTGCAACAAAAATAATCTTTGCTTTAATTGTCACACCCAAGGCAGTCTCCACACATGACAGCTGCGTGTTCCATGTACTCATCTCACTTGCACTGATAGCACATGTGCTTAGCCTTCCTTTCCTGTGTGGCAGGCTATTCTTGTCACCTTTCTTGTCTTCCTCTTTTGTCAGGAGCTTCTTACTGTATTGTACAGCATGCACTTAGCAGGGAAATAAGATATCAGTGAAATAAAATATCAAGTATATAATCAGTGCTTAGAATAGACCAGTGTTTTCACATCAGCTATTTACTCGCTCCCAAAACCTAAAAGATAACATCAGAAATAAATAACCTATGTGAACTACAATGTGAACACAAACAAAAGTTTAACACAGAGATAATATTTGCTTCAGCTGCCACACTGAAGGCAGTCTGCACATGTGAAAAGTGCACACTCTGTACACAAGTATCGCTTCCACTGATAGTGCATATGTTTGGTTTTCCTGTCCTTTTTTGTAGGGCACAGTTGCTGTCTCTTTCCTATCCTGTTGTCGTAGTAGGCCTTTGTGATGCTGTGCCTGCCTGTTCACCTGTCAGCTTACCAGTGTGGTTCACAATTGTTTTGTATAGTTCCATGAACAGAAACATTTTGTTTTTCCTCTGCTGTAAATGTCTCTTATAAATTCCGGTCCCAGTCCTCTAAGAAAATTTCTTTGTGGTATTTTGTACTTGGCTTTTCTTTATGAACTATTAAACTGTTTATGTCAAACATGTTTAGGATCACGTAAAACACAGCCATTGCTGATGCTTTGTGTTTTGAGTGCCATCATAGCTGCTGCATAACTCATCAACAGCATCTACTTTGTATTTAGTCAGTTCTTGCTCCATTTCACTGTCACAGGAACTTTGGCTCACATGGCCAAAGTGAAAGTCATTGTCATCTTCATTATCCACGCATAAGTAATCTAATGATTCACTTTTGACCTCCTCCAGAACTTGCAAATCTGGTTTTTCATGTGCCATTGTACGTAATTGGGCTACTTCTACCAGATAAATCAAAATAAAACTTTTTAAAAACAAACCTTAAATGCACAGAAATTTAGCAATGGGAATTTCACGGGTGAAATTCACCTGCTGCTGCTTTGGAGCTCCTGTGCACACCTTGCCGTTCATCTGCCAAGTGAGCGAATGCACGTAGATGGGCTGTTGCTTTCCCCAGGCATACTCCTGGAGCCACACCCATACTCCGCTGTGGGAAACGCATGTTTACACAGCAGAAGAGTGGTGTGGGTGTATTTCATCCCTTCTGATGCCCAGCTAAACATGCACAAAACCTGTTAGAGGTGGCAGTATGTGGATAAAAATCCCAGTTTGACACTTGCACACGTTCACACGTCTTGTTCTTTGCCTATCATGCCAAGTGGGTAAACACAAAGATTGCTTCCTATAGCCCCCAAGAGCAGCTAATAAGTTGCACACCTGGCTACTATTATGCTGAAGTACAAATTTACAATAGAAAAGTATGGGATAGATTGTTGTAACCCAGTGTCGTACCCTACAGAATGTTATGCCTACAGAATGTGTGGAACATTCTGTGGATCCCGTTGGCCATGATAAGAAACCTGTCAGATGGTCTGTATCCACCCAGAGTCTCTGTGTTTGCAGCAGCCACTTCTGTTTTTGTTTTGTGGTTGTATCTGATACTGAAATCTTGCTTTCTCCACCACAAACTTTACAGAGCAGAGACCCTGTCTTTCTCACCTTACTCCTTTTGTAGTCCCAGAGGCTAACAGGTTAGAGTAGTATGTAAGTGGCAGATGCTCAATATGTGTTGGTTGAAGAGAGTTAATAGTGAATGAATAGTCAGTACAAAAAACACATAGAAGATGAGGTGGTTCTCACTTGCCCTTATTAAGCCCATGGTAGCCATCAAGGTCTCTTCTGGAGTCATTTTTAGTAGTAGAATTTTGTAAAGGATTGACATTGAGCTTATTGAATGTGTCCTGTACTCAAAGATGAGAGAAAATAACATAATGATGCTGGTTGAGCTGATTGCAGATTGTAGATTTTCAATATCACATCAGTAACCTTCCTTACTTCCCTTGGGAGCTATTTCATCCTTTGGTATAAAAAGAACTTTCTTTCTTAAAATGGTATATTCTGTTCTATAAAGTAAATAATTAATTTCTTTTTTTGTGTGGGGGGGTTCTGGTACTGGGAACTGAACTCAGGACCTCGCACTTGCCAGGCAGGCGCTGTGCCGCTGAGCTAAATCCCCAGCCCCTGTAAATAATTAATTTCTTGGGGCTGGGGATTTAGCTCAGCGGCACAGCGCCTGCCTGGCAAGCACAAGGTCCTGAGTTTGATTCCTGGTACCAGAAGAAAAACAAAAACAAAACAAAACAAAAATAATTAATTTCTTAAGCAAAAATTAGTTAAGAAATTAATCATCATGAACTTCAAAAATATTTTTTCTCCCATTACGTGACAGTTATTTGAGAGTGTGTAATAGTGTCTGGGATAATTCTGGTACTAGATATTTAATTTTTCAAATTTTAATAAGCTTGTAATTGTATTCTTCAAAATAATTGCCTGGTCTATTGATATAGGACATGTTGGTGTTATGTGTGTCATTATTAAGATATATTACATAATTCATTATATGTCCATACCAGTTAACTAATAGTTTTTTTTATTAACATAGATATGGATATGTATGTGCCACAAAAATTATGAAACTGAGGAAAATACTTGAAAAAGTTGAGGCTGCATCAGGATTTACCTCTGAAGAAAAAGGTGACCATCTTCCTTTATAGATATGCATTGAAAAAACTTGAAACCATGTATGAAATACGCTAAATTATTAGCTAAGATGTGTGTTTATATAGTTTTGTGGTTTAATTTTAAGTTAGAATTGGGGGCCTAGGGATATAGCTCAGTGGTAGAAGACTGTACTGGTATGCTGGGTTCAGATTCCGAGCACCCACAAACAAGCAAACAATAAGAGAAAGAACTCTTTTTTATGTGGTACACATTTTTCTCCATTTTGTAAATTCTTCCACTCTTCCAAAACTATAGTGATGTGCAATAATGAACCTGTTTTAAGAGGCTGCTCTTGTTGCACTGTATTAAAATGAATGGATCAAATTCCTTTCCTTTCCAATGCAGCGGTGATATTCTGAGTTGTTTCTCTTTCTGTGGTGAAGGGGTGTGTTGAGCCCCCCATATTTCCCACTTAGTTTTCTTGTAAGAGAACATTATTAAGCAGCAAACTATGATTAAGTTTACAGTCAGTGTTTTAATCTATTCATAGCTAATCGATTTATGTGAAGATTCAGCCTCTGACTTTGAAGTTGTTAGCAGTGTTCTTAACCAACTGTAAAGCTTAGAAGCTTGATAATTACTTTAGTAAGAAAAAATAGGGCGCACTTCCTGTTTTGTCCTGCTTATTTTAAACAGCCCAAAGTGAAATTATTTCACTCTATGTGAGTGAGTCATTATACTTTTCAAATGCAATAAAGTTATAACAGAATTGGAACATAAAGCTTTCTCAGAACATATAAATATCCTTTATAGCTTTCCTGTATCAGGAAATCTTGAAAACTGTGCTTTTAATTGGAGTAATATTGAGAGAATGAAATTGAATTCAGTATAAAAATGAGCTGTAAAGAATAGAATGATTTTGAAGTTTTGCCTGTGACTTAGTTTTTAATTTTCTTCCAGATCCTGAAGAATTCTTAAATATCCTGTTTCATCACATTTTAAGGGTAGAACCATTATTAAAAATAAGGTAAGTTTTAAATTGTTGTAAAGTTCTTAGTGATATATTCTAGGTGCTGTTTCCCAGGTGGTTTAGTGTGCAGTGTCCTAGTGGTGGACCTGTCTCCATTCAAACCTGTGTTTCTTTGTTGAAAATCTTGGTAATGTACCATCCTTTTCCTTAAAAACTTAACTATAGACAAGTGCTACTGTCCTGTGTGTCTTAGGTGATGTTGTTTGATGCCAGTGTTGAACAGATGGGCAAGATGAAGAAGAGGAGCGAGCACCACAGTTGTAGTTGGACATTGCACAGAATGTTCCAATGAAGGAAATAAGACATGATACATAAGCACCTTGTGTACTCATTCATTATCTGGTCAAAGTTGGTGATAGCCTTTGGTGGACCTAGAAAACCCTTAGGAACTGTCTAGAAATGATTAAAATTGCTTTAAAATAGGAATAACTCCATACTTAAAGTAAAATACCATGCAGTCAGTTTCATTGAGAGAGATTTTTGAAAAGACATAGAGCTGAAAGGTAATTCGATTAATGAGGTAGATTGTACTTTAGGTGGGAAAATTAGATACTTTTTTTTTTGTACCAGGAGTTGAACTCACAGTCTCACACTTGCCAGGCAGGCGCTGTGCCGCTGAGCTGTATCCTGAGCCCTAGATACTTTAAAGATGCTAATGTTTTATAAAATAATTGGCACATACGCAGGATCTTAATCTTTACCTTCTTTTAAACCCAGGAAAGGAAAGTGATGTGAGAGTTCTCTACAAAATAAAGTGGATGAAGAATACTTTTTTTTTTAAAGAATTCTATTTTAAACTTAAAAGGCAAAGCGATAGACATTGAAACAGTGTTTGATACAGGAGTAAAATTAGAAGAATCGATCAGTAGAACTGAATAGAAGGCTCAGTAGTATTTCAGTAGCTTAGAAGTCAGCCTTCAAACACAGATTGGGAGGAAAGATATATTTAATACGTGATATAGGACAGCAGCAGGCAGTTGGGGAAAAGGTCAGTTTTTTTTCCCATGTTTTAAAGAAATAAATTCCAGATTCTTAAAACAGTTGTTTTATTGTTTTACTTTTCTAACACACCACACCTAAGGGATGTAATCCCTCCCAGTATTAGCATAGGTTGAATAGTATAGTGCTTCTCTGAGGTGCTAGAAGGGGCAGGCACTGCTCATTGTGAGGGGGCCGGGGTCTTGCAGAGTTCTTACACCCTTGCAGGTCCACTGTCCCCACCTCACCCCCAAGCAGCCTTTTCATATTTCGATTTGCTGTTTAAGATGCTAAGAAGATATTTTAAGTTAGTCTTTCTTCTCCCCAAATATCGTTCTTCCCCTGCATGCACCTTTCTTCCTGACCCAGGGAGTGAGGTGATGGCACCTATGGAGGATGAGTGCCGTAAAAAATGGGAAATAATAAAACAGTCCAAAAGAGGTTATATTTTAAAATGTCTGAAGAGGCAAAAGAGGGGGCAAATACTGATGGGAGATAAGAGAAGATTTGACCAATGGCATCGACTAAACTTTCAGGCAGACGTAGCACTTGCAGGAGCAGGTGTGTGCCCTGGGCTGGGCAGCACAGTGGGAGGTGCTCCCGATGCAGGCCAGCAGGGCCAGCAGGTGAGAATGAGGTCCCCAGAGAGCGAACGCGAGCTGTGGAAGACGGATTCTGATCAGAGTCCTAAAGGAGGCACTTGAGAGAATAGGGCAGAAGTAGTGCCTCACGAGATTTTCAGAATTTTCGACAGACTTAATTCTAAGAATAAAGATGTACAGAATTCCTTAGGAACCAGGACTAAATTACCACTTGGAGATGTATTACAAGATGTACTTTAGAATGAATTTAGAATGAAGGAGTGGGATGCAAGAAACAAGGAAGAATCAAGAAATTGGTAAATTTGGGTAAAATAGACCTTAACATTTAAAAAACAATGATAATGATGGTAGAGATCATAGTGACTAATTGTGTGTGTACTGGATAAAGTGAAGCTAAAGGCACAGTTACTAATGAGAGGGTACTAATTGGAGGCAGGCAAAAGAAAAAGATAGTGGACTAACCTCGGCAATCAAGAAGCTAAGATGCAGAGGAAGTTTTGGGTTGCATTCCTGAGTACCTCTCCTATAGAACACAGCCTGGGTATTCTTACTTGAAAATGTCATATCTGTACTATGTTTGATGGTGCTGGGTAGCCCTGAACCCATAAGGAACTGTAGTGACTACCTAGTACAGTCTGTGTCATGGAGGTAGATAGTCCCAAATTGTACAGATCCATGAGCATTTTTGTCTTCTCTGCCTTGTCCATTTTCTTGTGAAGTGAGCCCATTTAAATGTGTCCTCCGCCCTTGGATTTTCCATAGTAGCGAATGTACTAATGTACGTCACATATTGCAGCGTGGTTGCACCAGCTTTGTTATAATTCTGAAGGTTCTGGCTTCTGTGACTTCAGGAGTGAGGTGTGAGAGGTTGTTTTCCTGCGTCCCACTCTCATGGCTTGTATCCCAAAGCCGTGCATGTCCTGTTCCGTCTTTCTCATCCCTTCTCCGTGTGTGCAACTTTGCGCTCTCTGCAGACGCCATCCCTTCTCTTCAGCCACTATCATTACTTATTCCCGTTATCACTGCTCACATTCTTACTTCCTGCTTTCTTTCCTCCTGTTTTTCTCTGCTGCCTGTTAATTTTTCTATGCTTTTTGGCTTCCGCAAAAAATTTTGGCCTTTTGACATCATACCTTGCTCTGCTCTTGATTTGCTGAGGAGTTGGTACTTCTTTATTTCTCAGGACCTTCGTTTAAAAAAAAGTTTGATCTGGAAGATTTTGTAAAGGTCTGTAGGCATATAAGCATTTGTTTCCCTGCTTCAAGCATCTAATGCAGTTTGCTTCTTTGTAGATTTTGACGATGAAGTTGAGCTAACTGATATTAGCATTTGATTATTATTGTTCATACTGTACCTCTTGACTAGAGATATTATTCCACGATTTTTTTCTGGGCACCAAGAGAACTTCTCAAAATAAAAACTAAAACAAATCACTTACGGTGTTGTGCATAAATATGTTTAATTATTTCATCTAAATTGTCTTTTCTCCCATTGTTCAGACCATCCAAAGAAGTTGCTCCATCAGTTTTATGAGTTTTCTGTTCTCAAATCCTGGTGGAACAAGTTCACACGGTGATTTAAGCATTTAATAAATAAATCATATGTGTTCTTCTCTGTGTGTTCTTAGATCAGCAGGTCAAAAAGTACAAGACTGTTACTTCTATCAGATTTTTATGGAAAAAAATGAGAAAGTTGGAGTCCCTACAATTCAACAGTTATTAGAATGGTCGTTTATCAACAGTAACCTGAAATTTGCAGAGGTTAGTGTCACTGTGTTTTCTGTGAAAGCCTGGAGGGTTCCTAAGGGAACTAACAGAGTCAGTGTCTGTTAAGTTGAACCAACTGGAACTAGCTGTTAAAAAACACAGATATAAAAAAAGTATGAAGAAGTTCAACTTTGTCCATGCAGAAAATGCATTAGACTTAAGTTTGAGAATTTTAGAATTTTTGTGCTAAAACCCACAAAGCTAGTTTGTAACTTGAAAACCCTGAAGTGGTTTAACACAAAAAGCAGGATGTAAAACATTGTCATTTTACCCAAAGGTATTATCCAAATATATCAAAAGAGAACTTTCACTTTTCCCCTCTTCATGAAGAGACAATATGTCGTCGGTTTACTTACATTGGTTTGTTAATGGACAAATGATACAAATTAGTTTTCTTTTTATTATTTCCTGAGTATCTATAACTTCAGTAAGTGCAGGCTTGTGGTTTATTTTTGTTGTGTTACCTCTGAAGGGAGGTTTTGATAAAACCTTAACAACCACTGTTTCTTATTAGTTCATGTATCAGGAATATCATCCTTCTGTGTTGACGGTTTCTGTATATTTGCTGAAATACTTTATCCAAAACCCTTATTTATAGAAACCCAAAATAAAATGATACAAAGTCGTTCTTGTGTTCTCTGGGCCCGGGACTGTTGAAGCCCCTGCCTTCTTGGTCTTGTTGTGTCACGTGACACGGGGTGACTAGGAGACTGGTGGTCGTGACTGCATTCTGTCCACACTCCATGTTCACCATGTGGATCTTGTTTTCTGGGCCATCAGCATTAGGATGAAAACTGCTTGCTTTGACAGTGGTGACTGTTAGAGTTTCATAGGGAAACATGTTTTTCTCAGCACTTCGATGTTTTCTAAAATGTGTCTTTCTGTCTCTCTTTTTAGGCACCATCATGTCTGATTATTCAGATGCCTCGATTTGGGAAAGACTTTAAATTATTTAAAAAAATTTTTCCATCTTTGGAATTAAATATAACAGATTTACTTGAAGACAGTAAGTATAAGATTTTTTAGATTGTTTTGTTTGTTTTTCAGAAATAGTCTGTCAGACCATTCTCATTGGTCCCAGATGTATCATCTCGAAAAGGCAATTCAGTGTCTGAAGAGCTTAGAAGTATCAAGTCAATAATTTTTTTTTTTTTCAAGTCAATAATTTTAGTTCTGGGATTTATTCTGAAAAAATAATTAGAGATTAAAATAAATATTTTATATGTAGATTTGCTTATTGTCATAAGAAATTGGAAACAACGTAAGTGTTCATAAGAGTCCATTAGTTAAATTAATGTATATCTGTACAATAAAACTTCTCTTAAAATTCAGGTCTTTGAAGATTATTGCGTTTGAAAATGGTCATGATGTAGTACTGATTGAAAAGTAGAGACATTGATAGGTGCTTAATATGGACATCTGACTCTGTAAATACCTATACACATATAATTGCATAAACATTGAGACATAAAATTGGAGAAAATTCATGGTAATATTGATACTTTTAGTGTTATTCTTTATACTTTTTTGTATCTTGAATTTTCACCAGTGAACATTTTCTGATCAGAGGAGAAAACACTCTAAAATGTGTTATTTAAAAAGCAGCCACTTGGTCAAAAAGAATGCCTTCAATGATACATCATATCTAGGAAAATTCAAGTTAAAGGTTGGAGAATGATAGAGTCTTTTGAAGCCCTGAACATAATCTTTTTAATAAAAGAATGTTTGTTTGGTTTTGTGGTACTAGGAATTGAACTATATCTGCAGCCCTTTTTAATTTTTTTATTTTGAAACATGGTCTTGCTAAGAGGGCTCCAATCTTTGATCCTCCTGTCTCAGCCTCCTAGAGTTCAGAGATTAGAGGAGTGTACACCATTCCCCACTAAGAATGCTTTTTTTTTTGTCTTTTTGAGACAGGGTCTCGCTATGCAGTTCAGGCTGGCCTTGAGCTCACTTTGTAGCCCAGGCTGATCTCAAAACTCGCAATGACCCTCTTGCCTCAGCCTCCCGAGTGCTGGGATTATAGGTGTGTGCCAATGCCCGGCATAAGAATGCGTTTTTGAAAGGCCCCTTAACGTCCTTCCTGTCCCCCACCCCAGCTCCCAGGCAGTGCCGGATCTGTGGAGGGCTCGCGATGTATGAGTGTAGAGAATGCTATGATGACCCGGACATCTCAGCTGGAAAGATCAAGCAGTTTTGTAAAACCTGCAACTCTCAAGTAAGCGGCCTTCACTTACTGGACTATCTCTCGTGGAACAGTAAGTTATGTGTAGTTGAAAACAGAGTTCAGGTTTTAAAAGCTCTTTAACTCGTACTTAGCTTTAGAAGTTCTTAGTAAAATGGTGTTGCGTATGCCTCTGCCCTGGGACTGCTGCGCGTCTGTGGAGTAGCTGGCTGCTGTTTCTCTGGGTGCTGTTAACAGTACGTGGACTCCCTCTGCGCGAAGCATTTCACTTGGCTCACTCGTGCTGTTCTCTTCATGATCCGTTGTAGGTCCACCTTCATCCCAAGAGGCTGAATCATAAATATAACCCAGTGTCGCTCCCCAAAGATTTGCCTGACTGGGACTGGAGACACGGCTGCATCCCCTGCCAGAAGATGGAGTTGTTCGCTGTGCTGTGCATAGAAACGAGCCATTATGTAGCCTTTGTGAAGTATGGGAAAGACGACTCTGCCTGGCTCTTCTTCGACAGCATGGCCGACCGGGATGGTCCGTCCAGCCTGTTTCTTCTGCATGTGGCAGCCTGTGGGTTTGTGGTGGGACAGTTCATAGTGGGACTGTCTGTTCTGAGTAATAAGATATCTTGTTTTCTGAGAAAATCCTTTCAGGAATATCTTGATGACACAGGCTTTCATCGTGAAATGCCTCAGTACCCTGCTGTTATGAGTCCTTATAATAGCAACATTATAAGGAATAATATTGCATTATTTTGACATGTATATGCTCTTCGTTAAGAGTAGAGTCCTGACATTCTTTATTGAGGGCTGAAAGATTTTATTTTCCTCTTCCTCTCCTTTTTTGTATAAACCATAGTAGTTTTATTGAGCATGGGTATACCTCTCTGGCAGAACAATAAGTCATTTTACCTAAATATGTGAAAGGTGGAAATGTGTCCCATTTTTCTGATATGAAAGCCGAGGTCACATAGCTTGTGTTTAACTTTCTGATCTCATGCTTTTTTTTTTTTTTTTTTTTTAACACTGAACTGTGTTATCTTTGAAATGACAAAAGCTAAACCAGAAGTAAACACCCCCTTTGGAGAATAAGCCCATTTTGCATTTAATGTGTTTCTCCCTGACAAGGGGGCTAAACTGGATTCTCTAGCACATTAGTCATTACTGATACATCTGAGGGCTAGAGACCCGAGAAGATTTCAGGAGCGATGTGTCTGAGTCACTACAGCTCCCCCAACATCTGGAGCTCACGGGTTAGGGCCGCCTGGGCACAGTTGGGAAGTCTGCCCTCTGCATCCTTCCATTCTCTTGACTCTCCAGCCCCCAGCTGCATGGTCTTCGGGTGTGGCTGTCTAAGAAGCTAAAACCTTCCCCCTAGGGGCAACCCATTTATTGAGCAGAGGCCACGCTCCAGACCAGGAGTTCTCAGCCTTTCTCAGCTCTCAGATGCCCGAGGAGCACATCCCAGCCCCATCTGTAAATGTGCCTGCCCAGGGCTGAGCTCCAGGGCTTTTCTTGCAATCAGAGCACCTTGGTGTGCAGTCTGATGACATGACACACAAACCATGCCAAAGGTGTACACGTGTTTTTTTTTTTTTTTTTTTGGTTTCCATGCCAAAGGTGTGCACATTTTTTTGTTTGTTTTTTTTCCGGTACCGGGAATTGAACTCACGATGTCACACTTGCCAGGCAGGTGCTGTGCCACTGAGCTAAATCCCCAGCCCCCTGTGTGCACAAGTTTTTAAAACTGGAGGACCCCAGCAGGGTTGGACCTGCTGTGGACTGGACAGGGTTATGGTGGAGTGTGCTGGGATGTGCAGGTCTGGGAGGGAGGCGGAAATGCGAGGAACTGAATGCTGTATTTTCCATTGTTCCCAAATCAAACACAGAGGGAAGCCTGGAAAGCAGGTTTGGGGCTTTTCTCAGGATGTTTCCTTTTACCGGTTTTGTTCACTCTTAGTTCCAGAATCTTTTCAGAAGCCAAGAAATGAGAAAAGCATCATGTGGTAAAGGGGCCTTTAATGTCTAGAAGGCAAAAGTAAAATAAGGTCATTCGGATCTCAAAAGTCAGCCTTTACTGAGGATTGTACAGTAGGTTTGGGGTGCAGGGCCAGCATTGAGGGTTTAGAATTTCCCTGCTCTAAAAAGCGCTCTCCCTCTTCCTCACAGGTGGTCAGAATGGCTTCAACATTCCCCAGGTGACCCCCTGCCCGGAAGTGGGCGAGTACCTGAAGATGTCTCCCGAGGACCTGCACTCCTTGGACTCCAGGAGAATCCAAGGCTGTGCTCGCAGACTTCTTTGCGATGCATACATGTGCATGTACCAGAGTCCAACCATGAGCTTGTACAAATAGCTGGGTCATCCCAAGAGGTGAAGAGACCGAACACAAAATCTCAGTGTTGCGTTTTCCCAGAGCTGGTGGTTCTGTTCTACGCCCATTGCCGGCAATGGGTGTCTGTGTGGTGGCGACTCAGAAAAGGATTCCTGTGCTTCAAAATCAATTGCTTTTGTGTTGCTGAAGTATTTAATAAGAAGCATTTTGCACTCCAGAGAGTATGTTTGTGTTGGTTTTATAAGAAGTCTAAATGAAGTTATTAATACCTGAAGCTTTAAGTTAACTGCATTGATTATATGATATTTTTTGGAAGCATAAATTTTAATTGTGACAGTTTAAAACCTTTTTTCGTCCACTGAGAATGTAAATAAATGTTTCTTCTTTCTGGACCAAGAATATGAAATAATTTTTCCTTTGTAGCTAATGGTTGCTGTGAGGAAGAAATAATTTGGTATTATTAAGAGTCTACTTTCAGTCCAGCTGTTAAAGGTGTGCTGAGTTTGCCTTGTTAATTCTTTCCTCTATGCTGCTGATTCCTGCATGTCTGCAATCTGCTGAGTTTCTGTGTTTCTGCAGTAGTGGTCAGAAAAATACCGAAATTCCCTTAAGAGTGTTGCTTTTTATTTGTTCCAGTTTTGAGATAAATGAGTGATTCTGTCATAAAATGTCCATTTGTGATGTACTTTTCTTGGAGGGTTAGGGTATTCAGCAACTAAAGCTCTTAGTCATTGTAACTGTCAACTAACAGGATTTTTTTAGGCACTATTTTATGCGGCAAGGCATAGTAAGTTTCCTGAAAGGATTGAAGTACTAAGTAAATAACATTTGTATGCAAATACACAATCCATAAGAAAATTTGGCATCGAGAATTACTCATTAATATTTCCCTGAAAAGATAGATATTTAAACCTTTATTTAAATAAATTAGAGGCTTATTTTAAATAAATCTGTTATTTTGAGTAATGTGGTTATTTTAAGTTCAATCATTCAACCAGTTCATTCAGTAAATTCAGTTTGGTTTTCCTTGAGATAATGATGGTGTGAATCATATTTTATTGAATTGTTAGCAGCAGTGTCATCCTCCCTGTGATTAAATATGTAGAAAGTGGATGTTTTCTTAGGTATATCTTTAGTGTGCATAGAGACCACAGTGGATGTTGTAGACTAGAATCGTAGAGTATAAACGTCAGTGCTGTGGGACATGTATTCCTTGAGTATTGTTTTATGATGTTGTTGTGTCTTTGGAATGATTTTCTAACCTTGCAGAAAGACAGAAAAGATGTCATATGTATTATAGCATATGACTATGTAATATTGAATGTGAAAAAACTGGAAAGGATCTTTACCAACCTTGCAGTTATTTTTTTAAAGGTACCCTTTGGTTTTATCATTCCATTTTGCTAGTATTTATTAGCTTTCTAAATCATAATGAGGTACAAAACTTTTCCATCTTACAACCTTTTCATTTTTTGAAGTGAACAAGTAAATACGTTTTTTTTTTTTTTTAAACCGGGTTTTGTACTGCTGATGTTGAGCTTTGAGGGGATAACTAGGTGAGGGCTATAGGCTGAGGACTCCTGGCTGTGGGTCAGGCTCTGCCTCTTCCCCTAGGGACAGATGGGGGCACAGGATGCAGTGTCTTAAGTTCTGCTCTGGCTCTAACCGTGTGAAGTCTAATCATTGCATAGCTAACAGGTATTGAATGAAGAATGGATGAATGAGGACCAGTGTGATTCCAGCAAGTTGGCTGGGGGAGTGATCAAGCATCTGTAAATAGGTGAGACTGAACTTAACAGTTAAAGAGAGAGAGAAGACAGTTCTTTTTCTCTAGAAAGGGAAACAAAATGCAAGATGGGGAAGACTGCTGGACAGCCTGCATGGTAGAAGGCTGGAGACTTACTTAGAAACCAGCTTGATTCCCAACTCCGCAGGGCAGGGCCCTTATAAGTGGGAGGGGCCTCATCCAAAAATGGCTCCCAACGTTTTCTCCAGGTGGAGCTCATTGCTGGGGAAGGGAGCATGTGGGAAGGAAGACCCATGTCCTTGTCTGCTCCTGAGAACCACCAGGATGTCCAGGGAAGCCTCTTCCCGCACCTGTCCCTCTGTTCCTCTGGGCAGTCCCACCTTGTTCCTTCCTCCAGTAGGGCCTGGGGTGTTCAGGGGGCATGGGCTGCATGCATGGATGGCCAGTGTGCCTGCTGTGTTACGTAACTTTCAGTTTTATGTTTTCTCTAGTATTCTGTTGGCTTTTAAAATGTTTTGATTATCGTTTTCCTCCTATCTAAATTGAAGATGACAATATAGTAAGTACAATCATCTTTATATCATGGTTCATGATTCACAGCTACAAAGACCAATATAGCAAGTCGTGTTCCTCCACCTCTAAGTAAATACATGTGTGTCTATTGTGTGTTTCTGTGTGGAAAACAGATTGTAGGGGGAGAGACAGAGACATAGGATTGTGTTACAGATGCTAAATGTGGCCTGTCCCACACTACAGCTTTGTAAAGGAGTCTGACTCCAGCCACAAAAGAATGTTTTCTGAGACTGGGAAAACATAATGGAAACCAAGAGAAGCAGTTTAAAAATTAGTATAATTATTGCAGTTGCTAAGGTTTTTCTGTTCAGAACATTTTAGAACTTTTGTAATTTGTATTTGCCAAATGCTTTGTAAATGGTCAGGTTCTTGCTGTCCTCTGACTTATTTATTCTCCCACATACAGTCTCTTGGGAACAAAGGGAGGAGACAGGAATTAGTCTTACGGATCTTACGCTGTCCTCCAAATTTGTTTGTTCGAATGTGACATCTTCATAGATTCTGGAGTCCTTCCCCTCAGCTGGATCTCACTGTGCAGCTAGATAATTTTGCATCTGTTTGGATGATTGTAGTCCTTGCTGTGCATGGAGAATATGGTATTAAACCTTCACAGAGCAGCTGCCAGCAAGTGTTTACTGGACATTGACTCAGTGCATAGGATTGTGTCACAGGCACCAAGACCTGGTCCCTGCTCCCAAGCAACTTAGCACCTAATTTCAGCCACAGAGCATCCATGAGGCCTGCTTAGCTGAAGTGAGAGGCGACACTTTGGAAGGCAGCGTGGTGTCTCAGGAAGGGAAAGGACAGGGATAAGGGACCTAAACCCTTTCTCTATTACCTGGTCTGTGTTGTTAGATGGCTTGATTACGTGGGCTTTCATGTCTTCTTCTCTATTATGAGGTGATTTTATAGGGAAAAAAAGTACAAATTCTAAGGTCCCAGGCCATGGCTGCTGGACCTGACCCTCAGGCGGGGCTGGAAATGTGCTGGTAATTCTCTCACCTGAACCTGATGACCAGCTAGGGTGGAAAACTCTTCAAAGGGCCTTCTCCTTTGGTGACCATATACTGCTGTCATGTTAACTATTCCACATAGATGTGAGTAATTGGGTATTCATTGTATTGCTGTCTGTGTTTGTATATGAACCTATATAAGAAATGCATTTCAGTATGTGAGCCTCAACCCACAATTCCCTAAAAGTTTTAGCAGTTTTTGGAACATAAATGAGTCTCAAGAGGATATTTGATATAGGGATTTTCCTTCTATCTTACTTCTTTAGGGGAAATTGAGGCTCTGGAAACCAAAGAAATAGGAAAACACAATTCTCATGTAAGGAAAAAAATATGCAATTCCTTACTATCTGCTACATTATGAGGAAAAATAAAATTTCGTGGTGATACAGTTCTCTGGAGTAACAGGCCACCTTATAAAGTAGATGTGCCACAAGTTCTGTAATAAGGACGATGCCACTTCTCTAGGGCTGGTGATATAAACACTACCCCAGTTCTCCATCGGTGGACAGAGTCCTTGGATTTCCTAAAGCAAGTGGGGAGTGGGGAGCCCGCGGGGGTTGTTACGCTGGGCCCTGGAGAGCCGGAAGGGGGAGGAGGAGATGGGCGCGGCCCTTACAGCAGGTGGCCACATGGAGGCAGGGCTTCCGCGCTGCTGCTGTTGGCCCTCTGGTCCCAGATGAGAACTTCAGACAGGGAGGCTCCCGCAGAGATGGCCTTGCTCTCATCTCTCCTCTCCGATGTCTTACTAGGAGGAGGGGATAGGAGGGCGGGGGAGCTGTTCATTTTACAATAGATCTGGAGCAGATCAAGGCCTTCTCTTGAGTCAGGAAACGGTGGTAGGAAGTTAAGCAGCGGAGGTGGCCCAGGAGGTGGCCCGGAACGTGAAGAATTGAAGCTGAGTGGAGGGTAGCACAGCGGGTGCCGAAGCCTTCTCCTTTCCGGGCAGTGGCCGCACGTTTTTCTTACTGAATTTCAGTCATTTCTTCTAGCAGTTCGGGGAGGAGGGCCCGTATTGGAGGGATTGCCTAAGGACCATGGCTGCAGGTACAATTCTCCAGTGCTTTTAAACCCTGTTCACTTTCACTTTTTATTTCTTCTTGAGGGATTATGCTGGAGACCCAGCTGTGTTTGCTTTTGTATGAAATTTTAACTCCTAGTCTTAGCATCCTGCCATAAACACTCATGAAGACCCATCCTGTTGATGCTTCGCAGGGGCGTTGTGGCTCTTGGTAGGCAAAGGAGCACGTTTTGTTCCACATTTCCATTTCTGGTGTCCTGTTGAGCACTTTCACATTTTTTGCCTGAAGAACATCTAATGAAAACATTCTTTAAGAACACCACCACATAAAATACCCCTTTATTATCAGATAGCTCTGATTTAGCCTTAATTTTGTTAAACTTTTTAGAGATGAACGAAGTGCTGCTGTGGAAAGAAATGTACTATATACTATTTCTGTATCATTAAAATGAGATTTTTATGGTTCCTTTTCCTTTGTTTCTTTGGGGAAGGGTCCGGGGCTGTGGGAAAGCTGGAACTCGGTCTCTCCAACTTGTGTCGTGTTTGCCGGGGGCCAGCGTGGAAGGGCCCTTGGGGAAGTGCCGTACCTGGCACATCTGTCCGTGTTAAGCCTCGTGAAGCCTCTACTGTCAGCACAGTTGTCTGAGCAAACCTCACACCCTGCCCCGCTCTGGGAGATGTGCCAGAGTCTCCCTGGGCCGTGTGGTTTCTGTCTAGCCCGCATTCCCCAGCTCTGATTCTGATGAAAGTCCCTAGCGAGTTCATTCCAGTCTACCACTTCCAGTGCAACCCATGGCGAGAATGAAGACACTAAGGCATATTTATAGTTATGGGGAGCCAAGGGGTCCTAGGTCCAGCCATGATGAGGAACAAAGGCCTCAACCCGGGCCGAACCTGGGTTTTATTCATTTGTGAAGAAGGGAGTGGCTTCAGGATGAAAGACTAAGAATCCTGGGAAATAGGTGAGTGCTGTGAGCTGGGCTGGGTAGGAGGCCTGAAATCACCTCTGCAATTGCCCAGAGAAGGATCTGCAGACAGAGTAATCTGTGTAACAATTGAGATATTACCTAATGTTTTGGGGTCGGTGCTTCAGCTCTGACGTGTAGTCTTTCAAGCCCCAGGAAGTCATAGCCTCTATCTCAAGGCTCGATCCCAGCTGACAGGGTGGAGCACTGGTTCTTCATCCCACAGAGTCCAGACTCACAAAGGAACAATGGGAGGGTCTGGGGAAACATTGCCTGTCTTCTTCAAAGACTAACATTAGCACCTCTGCCAGAGGCGATATGCATTGCTTAAAGCCAATTGAAGGGATAAGGAAAAGTCCTAGCCAGCTTTGCGTATGCCAGTACACAGAAACAGGGTCAGGCTCAGCCAAAATGGGCACAACTGCTCCTCTTTCAAGGAGAGTCACCCAGCTGGTCCTCAACCAGGGATAATCACATGGCATTATAGGGACCGAAATGTACTCCAGTTTTCTTCTAAGTAATAGAACAAATCTTCCCCAGGAATTACTTAGAGATCAAATCAATTATCATGCCAATGTAGGAAAGCTAGAATGGTCTGAGTTGTAATACTGATATTCACTATGCCTTCAGGAAAGTTTCTGTAGCTAGGTATGGTGATGCATGCCTGTAATTACAGTACTCTAGGAGGCTGAAGCAGGCTGAACCATTACTCAAATTTGAGTCCAGCCTGGGCAATCAGATACTGTGTAAAAATGGGAGGGTGGGTGGAGGGTTGGGGTTGGGTTCAGTGTGAAGGTCCTGGGTTTAATCCTTCTCTGTTACAGTCCCATTCTGGGGGAATTTTCCTAAGTTGGGTCTGATAAAGTGAGTCTTACTCTGTACAGTACACCTGTGAAAGTTCACAACTCATGTTCATAAGTCATAGACTTACTGCACTACAAAACAAACCAACAAAACAATGTTCTGTGAAAAAGTCCAAAACCGATAGCTGTATGGACATTCTACTGATAAAATAGGGCCGCTAAACATTACTGAACGTCCTTGTCGAAGTCAGTGGCTGTGCTACTTTCTCAGAGATTCCTGTACTTCCTGCCTCAGGGCGTGTTCATGTGGCAGCGATAGTCTGTGTACTTGTATCCACCTGTGGGTCTGGACAGTCTAGTGAAAACTAGTCCTTGCCAAGGACTGCTGTCTGCTCAGAGGCACCCTCACCCTGCCCTGGTCCTCTTTGTAAGTCTTCTGATGCACAGTGTCCCTCGTCACAACCTGAAGGACGTGGGTACACCGCCCGGAGAATGGTTCTCCATCGTGGCTGCAGGTGGAATCCACACAGGGAGACTCGGAAGGCGCTGATGTTGTGCCCACCGCAGGCTGGTGGCAATCTGAAGGTGGGGCCAGCAGTTGGCACTTATCTCAGTAACTGTGCTACCCAAGCAAGCACATTAGCCAGACTTTATCAAAGCTGTCCGCACTGGTCCACATGCAGCCAGACTGGGAAGTCCTCACCAGGGGGACAGAGTTTCCTGGGGGAGACAGAGCCTACTTGTCATTCCTTGGTGAACTTTCTGCTCAGTGAAAGAGTTTTGGGCATGGATGAGCACTGAGCTGGAGGCAGGCAAACTCTTGTGAGCTGCTGACCTCGGAGTCACAGTACTGGAGGCAGGAGAAAGGGTTTGAATGCAAGAAGGGCGTTTCCATTTGTGCAGAGGGTTTGAGTTACCAGCCTTGACGGGGTATCATAAAGATGTGTTATCGTTATTCAAGAAATAGTTCAGCGGGTGTGCAGATTTCACATGTCATAGACTTGAGGTGTCATTTTTTAAAAAAGCCCAACAGCTTGCCAAGGGAAGCAGGTAGAAGAGCCCTTGGGAAAGGGTTGTTTTTGGCCGGCCCTTGGGGACAGTCAGGTCTGGCTGGGTCACCCATGTTGGCAACTGTTTCATAGTACTGAATTTTATTGGAGGGAAATCATTTCTAGGGTCCAGTTAGAGTAGCCAGGTGAACCAAGACTGATCGGGATGTTCTGGAAATTGGGTAATTCACTCAGAGCAACCCTCTTCAGAAAAGCACAGTGCAAATTGGCAAGTCTTTGGACCCTCCCACTTTTCTAAGAGTTTATTAAATTTCGGGCCTCAAACATGGCCCTACCAATAACATGCAAATCTGAGTTAAATACTACCTTTTCCAAAGTATGTAGCTAAGGGTTGCACTGGGTTTGACGGGCTGCTGATGAGGATTAGGTGACTTCATCAAGGATGCTGCCCAGAGTCTGCCCCTGCAGCCCTCTTCCCGAACTTCTGTGGCTCTGAGAGCCGTCTGCAGGGCCCAACCTGTGCATTCCCTGGGTGGCAGGCAGGTCTCGTCAGACTATAGACTGCATGAAGTCGGGTCTGCGACCGTGAACTATGGCTGCTTGGCTACGCGTTTTCATTGATTACAGAGGGGCGTGCCATGCAGGGAGTTGCTGCAGACTGGGCTGATGAAAGGGGAATTATGTATTTTCATCAAACTGTGTTTCACTGATTTGGCCCATCTCTGCATGCGTTAGGCCATATTTCTACACTGTATCCTGCAGATTGCCCGTGGCCATGGGTGAGCAGCTGTGGGACAGACAGAGTGCAGCTTCAGTGTCTGCTGGAGGACCCCTCAGAGAGGCCTCCTGCACAGTGGCTGGATGTGCTGCCAGGTGTGTGGCATCCGGCCCTGGGGACACGGAGGAGGCTCTGGTTTGTAGCCTTTGCCAACTGTGTGGTGTAAATCCACACCATAGTGGACTGCAAATACCAAAGTGACATCTCGGGGAAGAGCGCACAGCAGGATTAACACACCAGAGTTTAACATTCCTCTGTGACAGGATAGACAAACACCTGAGTGCAGGCCATCACCTGTGAATTGCTGCCCGTGGATGGAGCCCAGCCCACCACCACCTTTGTATCGGAGGAACCCAGCCACACCCACTCATCTGCACACTGCCTGTGGCTGCTTTGGTACTTCAGGGGTGGAGCGTGATCCTTGTGACAGACCTGCAAGACTTGAAATATTTTCTGTCTGGTTCTTTACAGAAAATGTTTGCTTTCCCCTCCGGCATAGAGAAAGGTAAAATGTGAAATAATTGGGAAGTGGTGTTTCACGTATTTATTACTTCTGTTTCGGATATAACTTATGAATTCTAAATTCATACAATTTAACTTTAATAATGGATGTGTTAATGAAATGGCTTCTGACGTTCCTGAAAATTTAATGATTGGCTCTTGGGAGCCATGGAAATAGCCCCAACTGGTAAATCAGACACCGTTTCAAATGCACCTGCAGCCCTTCTAGCCTTCCTTTCCCCCTCTGCACTTATCCCCTGACGTGTTTACTGTGATCTCTACGCTAAAAGCTGGGACAGTCTCTGATTAGCTCTCTTTCCTTAGCACCTTGATCAGTGCCTGGCACAAAGCGAGTGGTGAAATACTTGCTGAATGAAGGAAGGAACTTGCAGCCTTTATGAATAGAAGCGGTTCCCCTATTCACGGTTGTTAATGTGGCCCGAATTGGATCACTGTCCCTATTTCTTTCGAGAAAGTACAAGACGTCCCAGCCTCTGGCTTCCATACAATGCTTCATCTCAGAAGTGGAGACATCGTAGAACTTCCCCATTAAGCTTTTATCATCTTAACTGAAATCATGTATGTCGTGCCTGTCACAGTGCCTGGCACTCAGAAACCCCTCAGAGACAAGTTGCAAGTCTAATCAGCATGCCTCTTTCCACCTCCCTTCCCCTTTTGATGTTTTTCAAGACATACTCAACTCTTTATTTTAAAGAGAAAAAAACCAGTAACAAAATAACAACAACACAGACAAAAATAAAACAAAGCAAAAACAATAAAAACGATACAGGGTTTCAAAACAGAATGATAGGAATTAACAGTGATTGTTGTATTACCTATTATTATCTTTAACAAAGTTGCTCAGATTACCAGATGTAAGAATGCAAGATGGGTCTTTGATTGATCAGTCTTACATTCTTGTGTCTGGTGGACTGAGCAGCTTCACTGACGATAACAGTATGGAATGTAGCAACCATTGTTAATTCCTATCATTTTTTTGAAGTCATGTATCATTTTTGTTGTTTTTGTGTTGTTTTGATTTTGTCTTCATTATTGTTTGTTTTAATTTTTAAAGTAAAAAATTAAAAAAAATGCAAGATTGATCAAACCATTAAAGAGAATAAAAAATAATAAAACAGAAACGACATAGAGCTTCACTAGACAAGATGGTAGGAATTCACCAATGGTTGTTATATTGCATATTGTTGTCTTCAAATTAGTTGTTCAGATTACCGGATATAAACATACAAGATCGGTCAAAAAATTTAAGCATTAACTGCCCCTTTCTTTTTTTTTTTTTTTGGTTTTTCTCCGGTACCGGGAACCAAACTCACGACCTTGCGCTTGCCAGGCAGGCGCTTTTGCCGCTGAGCTAAATCCCCAGCCCCTAACTGCCCCTTTCGATAGGC